ATTATATTATATATAATATAAATAATATTAATAATAAATAATATTATATATAATATATTTTGCAGTGCTAATTTTCTTTTATATTACATTATTATATTATATTATATTATATTATATTATATATAATATATTTTGTAGTGCTAATTTTCTTTTATATTATGTTATTATATTATATTATATTATATATAATATATTTTGTAAGGCTAATTTTCTTTTATATTATGTTATTATATTATATTATATTATATATAATATATTTTGTAAGGCTAATTTTCTTTTATATTACGACAAAAAGAAGGTAATACATTTTGCAATGCAAATTTTCTTCTATTTTCTTTTGTGAAGTATATAAGTATTTATATCGTAGTATATATATATATATAAAATTTGATATCACGTTATATCGGTATTAGAATAATGGTATTCCTCTGACGAAAAAGAGGAGGAGGGGGGGGGGGTTGATTAATGATCGCGAGAAGGAAAATTGCAATGTAGATTAGCGGTTCCTAAAATTTATCGAGGGGGTAAGGTATATTATAGTTTTGCGAATAAATCTTTTCGGCCTAGATTCCCCTTATCGGGAGTATCGAGCACCGCGGTTAATCCTTCGTGACGCGGGCAACGATACTAATTCGAAACAGCCAATTTAAACGCTGAATACGTATATACCTTTTGATATCAGCATCGTCGATTTAATATTCCACCTGCACGCGACTAATCTCTTTCCTACGAGGTTTCTTTGACCTCGATATATCTCTATCCTCGAATTAATATCTTGGACTTTTTTTTCCTTTTTCATATACGAAACTCGAAATTCTGCCCTCTCATTCCAGATTCGCCTCAGAATTATCGGATCATCTAATTTCCTTCCCGCGTGGATAATTATAATATTTGGTTTATTTCAGCGATGCTGATATTTTTTATATCTCTAGTAATTATTTGTATTATTAATTTTAAAAAAATTGGAGTTTTATTCGAACTTCGAACTGTTGATTACAGGTTATTATTATTTTTTTTTAATTTAGATTAATGTTATCAAATTATCAAATTTAATAATATCAAATTTGTAATTTTAGTTTATCCTTTATATTTGATATCTTTTTCCCTATATTAATTGAATTAACTTTCGAACACCATTTCTTGATTCAATCGAGTCGATTGTAAAAGAATATATTTTTTAATCTGAATATTTTTCTCCCTATTTTATTTGATCGTATTTTAACGAACAAACAAGTAAATATTTTTCGTTACGAGGGTGCCGTATATACTTTTATGCAAGGCTTTTTCCAAACCATTGTGCCGATACGGAGTCCCATTGTGCGCATGCGCATACACGCACACGCTGTTCGGAGTGTTAAAAATATTTGCCACGAAAAGAAATTGTTTTCCACGTTTGGGCCCCTTTTTAAAAACCACATCTGCCCTTTATATACATCGATTGGGGCTTGGATCAGGTTCCACAATCCCGATCTCCCTTCCGTTTCCGTTTTTCGCCCGATTTTATTTCTTTCTGTCTTTATCTCTCTCTCTCTCTCTCTCTCTCTCTCTCTCTCTCTCTCTCTCTCTCTCTCTCTCTCTCTCTCTCTCTCTCTCTCTCTCTCTCTCTCTCTCTCTCTCTCTCTCTCTCTCTCTCTCTCTCTCTCTCTCTCTCTCTCTCTCTCTCTCTCTCTCTCTCTCTCTCTCTCTCTCTCTCTCTCTCTCTCTCTCTCTCTCTCTCTCTCTCTCTCTCTTTCTCTGCAACAAATATGGCGCACAAGTACTTTCTCTCTTTTTACAATTAAACCTCCTCCTGAAATAACTCGAGAGAAATAAGAAAAATTTTACAAATTTTTCTTCTCCTTCTCCCGTATATCTTCTTTCGTATCTCGAAAGATAAAGAGAGAGAAAAAAATTCTGTTGCAACGCTTTATTAACCGATTAACGAGTCGCTTTATTCATTTTCGAAGCGATCATCAATCCAATCCCTGTGCCGTTCCGATACGATCTCGATGCAGGAATCGTTTTTTCAAAAGACACATCATTGCTCTCCCGACTACGACCTTGTCCCACAAACTGAGACTCACAGCAAATCGATCTCCTCGATTTCAATCCGAGTTCAACTACAAATTAATCAACGAACTTTCGAGTTGAAATCTTTTTCTTTCCTTCGTAAACAAGAAAAATAAATATATATATATATATTTAATATTATAGTCCTCGATAAAAATTGTTCAATAATTATTTCTAACCTATCTTTCGCGACAAGTTTTTTACTCGAGATTTAATCGAAAGGTATTTTTAACCTAACCTAACCTAACTTAAGAAATATAATTTTGTATATATATATTAAAATATTAAAAAATATACAAATTTTTATTTTCTAAGTTTTTTACTCGAGATTTAATCGAAAGGTATTTTTAACCTAACCTAACCTAACTTAAGAAATATAATTTTGTATATATATATTAAAATATTAAAAAATATACAAAATTATATTTTCTAAGTTTTTTACTCGAGATTTAATCGAAAGGTATTTTTAACCTAACCTAACCTAACTTAAGAAATATAATTTTGTATATATATATTAAAATATTAAAAAATATACAAAATTATATTTTCTAAGTTTTTTACTCGAGATTTAATCGAAAGGTATTTTTAACCTAACCTAACCTAACTTAGGAAATATAATTTTGTATATATATAATAAAATATTAAAAAATATACAAAATTATATTTTCTAAGTTAGGTTAGGTTAGGTTAAAAATACCTTATGTATATATATTGGTATAAAGAGTTCATCTGGAGTAAATATCACGAGGCGATGAAAGAGGTTTGTCGAAGGTGGAGTCGAGGGAGACAGAGATTCGTAGAGGAAAGGTAGAAGAGGAGAGTTAACACGTAATCGTTGTGATTCATTGGATAGATATAGGTGGACGGGAAATTGGTTGAAAATTATCGCATACACGTTCGATTAACATTCTATTCGCGCGAAACTGACACCTTGCGTCAAGCGATTGGTGACGTCAATCGTCGTCGTTGTGGAAACGAACGCTTTGGAGAAGAAGGAGAGGAAGAGAATAGAGAGAGAGAGAAGAGACAAATCGGGCTCTGTTGCTCTGTATTTGCATGACAAGGGACGTTGATCTCGAGAAAGGGGAATTTCTACTAATGAAACGAAGCGAGACGAGTTCATAGGTGTGCCACGCCGATTGCGGATTTCGTGAGCTAGATCTAGAAATTTCGATCGTTGGGGGTGGATGGAATGAGAAAGAAGAATTTGTTAGAGGATTATTTGTTATTTGCT